CGACTTGTTGACGATTTGAGAGGTAGTCGCTTAACCAGTTCAGGGCTGTGCCGGAGATTCCAAGCTGGAATAGATCTTCCACAAGTGTCTGATGTTGCACCTGATCAAAGGCCTTTGACATGTCCAGGAAAGCAGCACCAGTTGACAGCCCGTCATCTCGGGCTCTTAGGAATGTGTCTGTAACCATTGTGAGAGCATCCTCTTTAGAGTGCTGGTGTCTGAAGCCACATTGACGGGAAGGGTAAAGATTATGTTCAGCCAGGTATTGACTTAGTTGCTCATCTACGATACACTCAAGTAGCTTGGAGACTATAGGAAGCAAAGAGAGAGGTCTATAGTTGGTGGGTTGACTGGGGTCACCACCTTTGTAGACGGGAGTGATATTGGCGATTTTCATGCTCGGTGGCAGCTGGCCTTCGGACAATGATTTGTTGCAGATGAGCATCAGTGAGGGTGCAAGAAGGTCAGCGTAGGATTTAAAAGGATCTTTGCTGGCAAGCCATCACTGCCAGTAGCTTTTGTCGTGGCTATTGACGATAGGATCTTACGCACACAGGCAATGGTAACGGGCTTTAAGATTGAAAGGCTGTTCGGAGACATGGGGCCTTGAGGTAGCGTCAAGGCTGGGGGACATTGAGGATCATTGACAATGCCTGCAAACACATTACCAATGTCATCCAGGGAGCATTTGGGAAGAGTATGGACTGGCTGCCGTCCGCTCAGCTGATTCAATACACGCCAAGTCTGCCTTGGGTTCCCCGTTGTATTCACAAATGCCTCATTGTAATGCTGTTCCTTCAGTGCTCGGCTAGTGCGGGTAACCTTCTGTCTGGTCTGCCGGAAGATGCGGTAGTCCACATCAAGTCTGGTTCTCAGCCACTTAGGATGCAGTTTGTTTCTCTGAACAAGTAACTCGACCTTTTGGTTTGTGACGCGGTCCCGCGAGAGGAGCACAGATCGTCCTATTTTTAGCTGACGACATTATGATGTTGAGTTCGGATGATTATCACATGAAAAAGACTTTCAAACATTAAAATATTGTTCCATTGTTCTCGGATTATGAGTGCGCTTACTTCACTTTCATCGATATATTCATAGGTGTTTATTCTCACTTCATTTCTCTCTATCAGTGCTTTTCTTGAATTTTTTTTTTCAAAAGTACAACTTAGCTTGACAACACGTTTAGTCAGGGCATCAAATACTTTCCCAGAGAGCATTGAGTGGGAAGCGGCTAGAACATCACCAACGGTGGAGGATTTAGACACTACTCTCCGAATAGGAGTGGATGGGGTGCTTGGGTTGTGTGAACAATTCTGAACATGGCTCTTTAGGTTGCAAAGACTCACCTGCTCTGGGCAGCCTAGTAGCGGCGCCTCGTAGAAATCGCATTTCAAGACTGACTGCTTGATGACGTCAGCCACAATAGTACGTGGTGACACCAAATTATCTAGACAAAGTGAATCTTTGTAGGTACGGACATTTCGTGCTTTGCTCCAGCCAACATGAAATGCACTTCGCACCAAACTAATGTTTACAGCTTGGCGTTTCCAGAGCAGCGTCTACAAACAACGAACAAATGCCACACATCCATTGTTCATGCTGCGGAAGAAAGGGACTTGGAACAAGGTCAGCACCAGTTTTCAAGCTTCCAGTCGCTTTTCTGGTGACCGATGATTGTCAACAGGAGTCACGGTGGTGCTGATGGAGATGGGTGATGGCTTTGCGAACGGCACCTCACATTTTGCAAGTTTGGACGGTCGTCCAATCACACCCGACCCAAAAACACTACAGTTACTATCATGTGCCTCCCTCAGTTTCATTGCCCCACACCCTTCACTAGTCCTTACATACCTCTCTTTATTCTCCTGAGCACTCAGTCGGTAGAGTCGGTAGAGAATGAGACTCTTAATCTCAGGGTCGTGGGTTCGAGCCCCACGTTGGGCGACAAATGTCGTCGTGCAAGAGACGAGCTGCCTCTTCTACGCTCTCGCCACGCCACAAATGCAAAATGACTAGTACATTGGTTTGTTCTCACGTCGGAGAGAGAGAGAGAGAGAGATCTTTTCATTACCACACTTCAGGACTGGAGGAGAGAACTGAACTCCCACAAGGGAAGACAAGAGAATATAATGAGGGGACGTGGAAAAGGTTGGGAAAAGTGGGGCGATGGAGACGAAAGAGGTGCTCAAAAGTGGGTCGTGGAAGTGAAATAGGTGCACGTGAATAATACAACTAGTCCCGAACGGGACGGGAGACAAAGACGGCAGATGATGAAATACGATGGACACAAGACGGCAACTGGACAAATACAACGGAGACAAGACGAGAAATGCGTATACAACGGGGACGAGATGAGAAAGAATGCATACGGAGGGGACAGAAGACGGTGCAGCGGCATGTAAAAAGCATTCCAAGACAGTGCAGCAGCGTGTACCACGGGTCAGCAGCATGTACGACACAGAAACGCAAACGCAGCAGCACGTACAACAAAGAGACACAAGCGCAGCCACATGTACGGCAAAGAGACACAAGCGCAGCCACATGTATGACAAAGAGCTACACGCGCAGCCGCATGTACAACAAATCCGTCGTACAACTGACATGCATGTCGCACACAATAATTGAGGACATACATCAGCATTTTTAGGCCTTTTTAATAGTTGGAGAACAAGATTCTAATTCAGTAATATGATCCGACACAGCATATTTTTAGAGACGCCTTTCTTCGCTATATTACTAAACTTACGACCGCTATCACAGACACATCTGGCGAAGTAGTTCCCCTATGCCTATCCATAGATCTATTTTTGGTATTTTATATTTTTTAGACAAGCAATTACAAACTGGCCTGAAAAAATCAACTGTAAAGGAGCGTAAAGCTACGAGGGTGACTCCTCACACAACTCAAAGACCTTACCTTTGTACTCTAACAGGAACTGAAATTTACAAGAAAGAGGCACCCACACTAATCCCTGCCAGAACTCGCTGGAGACCTTCGATGACATCCACACAGTGAAGCACAAGAAGAAGAAGAACGATCCGGCACGGACAACTATTTCGAATCAACATTTCTTTTGAGAGAACAAGCTGCACGTGAGTGTAAAATAGCTAAACCTTCGTAGTTATCGGCCTGAAACAATACTCAAGGGCCCCTGAAATGATGGCAACTCGTGAGATACTTCCGTAAAACAAGGAAGCTGTCAAGGACAAATTTCTGACATGTCAAGTGGTCCTCAACGCGTTCTCAGCAGGTCACCTGCGGCCTCGTGCCCAGAGGATTCTGGCCGCATTCAATGCATACGTAAAAGCCGTGACTGCACTGGTTCACAAAATCGCAATGCGCCGGGAGAGGTGGCAAGAGGCCCACCGCCGGTGACTTCCGGCGTGTACCGGCGATATGTGAACCAACCCTTACACGACCACACTACAACAGATACACACTGTACTACTTTGAAGTACATTGTATATACAATCAGAAACTGCTACCACAATGCACAAAACTGAGACATTCGACGACCTGACACCTGGCTCCAACGCGCTAAGCCTGCCACAGCACTAGGTAAAAAATATACTCATGTACTATAAATGTAGAAAGGAAAAGGACATATGGATACGAGTTAAGAGGAACTCTCCATTACTGTAACTGGATACTATATACAGTCAGAAAGTTGAATAACTAGGCACAAAACTGACAAGAGTACTGAGACATTCGACGTCCTGACACCTAGCTTCAACACATCTCCGTAGCGCTAACCGACAGCCTTCCAACTTGGAAGGTTCAAGGTTATGAAAAGACCAAAGAGGGAAAGGCAAGCGCAACGAAAACGAGCAAAAAACGAGCAAAAGTTTCAAATTGCACACCTGATGAGCCGTCACCAACCATACGGCGAAACGTACATCGTGTGAAACAACTTGTTTTGTAGTCAACTAGTCCATCACAATGTCATGCATGAGTTTGGCTTTCGGTTTGTACAATTCGTTTTCGCAAAGCTTCCCCTTTCCTTACTTATCTTTGATATTTATGACCCACCCAAGTTGGGTGGTGTGCTGCTTTGCGGCTTCGAATTGTAGTTAGAACGCTTTGTCAAATATCGTACTGGTCTCGTCATCGTCCAGTAACAATCGACATTCTTTGTTCCGTTGGGACTGTGGCTTTTGCTAGTTTTCGTTGCGCTTGCCTTCCCCTCTTTGATCTTTTCATAACCTTGAACCTTCCAAGTTGGAAGGCTGTCGGTTAGCGCTATGGAGATGTGTTGAAGCTAGGTGTCAGGACGTCGAATGTCTCAGTACTCTTGTCAGTTTTGTGCCTAGTTATTGCACTTTCTGACTGTATATAGTATCCAGTTACAGTAATGGAGAGTTACTCTTAACTCGTATTCATATGTCCTTTTCCTTTCTACATTTATTTATGGCTCAACATCCGAGTTTCATGTACTATAAATGCTGCTTTTTGGTATAAATCGTCAAGGACACATATGGGAAATCTATTACGATCCATTATATGTTTCAGCAAGTCGCAGATCCCTGTATACGGTATAAGCAGCTTTTTCCCCATGTACCGGATCTTTTGAATTTCATGCACCTCACATCACACGAGGTTTTTGGCGGTTGGGCTGGAAAATGCATACCGGTATACAACTTGTAGTGCGGCAGCTGGGTGTAACAAACACATTATTGTTACCTTTTACATGTGTATATTTTTTACCTGGTGCGGTTGGGGCCTAAACAACCGATTTTGAAGTTGTTTTATTCAAGACAAAATATGAGAAAATGATTGTGTATGCGTATATGTGATGGTGAGTGAAAGAGACTGACGTCATGGCAGCCAGGTTACTACAACAACACCGAAGAGTCTTCAGAGGTATTTCAAGCCTCAGTTTCTTGTCAAAATATATGTGAGAACGTTCTATTTTTTTCAAACAAGTGCACCACAGTTGGTTTAAGTCCATATGAACAGATTTGACGAAGTGGAAACCAATATTTGTTTGCAGAATACTCACACAAAGCGGAGATTTAGGTTACTTTGAAAAATACCAGGAGGTAGCATTGTCAGATTGTTATTCTGAAGATTCCTGGATGAAAAAAGTCAAAAACAGAATATACCAAAGTAATCGGCAGGGAGAAAACGAGAGAGTTTGAAAGTGCAGGGCCTTACACTATGCTTGCTTGCCTAGCTCCTCCTGAATGTGTTTCGATCTGATGGAAACGTATTTGCAATACAATGATGTAGCCGGTCAGTTTTGCGGCAGTTCCTGAGATGGCGGGACCTCTCTTCTCCCATCTTTCACTCTTTGTCTAGGCACTCTTGCCGACACCGTCTACTCAGACCTTCAACACTGTCACCTTGGTTGTCATTTTTGCTCTTCCTCTTACCACTCTTTATGATCTCAACATTATATTTATACAACAAAGACGCCTATTAAAACACTGAAATCTACCCGATCATTACATTCCCGGCCCATTATCAGCACACCCAAAAACATTCAAACGATGATGCCAGTTCAGCGGTCTCTTGCTCTCGACGCATCTTTCCACGAAGTTGGTGAGCCTCGAAACGACGAGATACTTGGTCGGTTGTTTCTTGTTGTCGGCTGTGCCTTTTGCAGGCACGTCGATTCTCGAGGCGACATTAACTACTCTCTGTGTAGTCATTCCCGCCGACGCCTTCTGCTCTCAGACATTCCTGGCCAATTAGGAGCACACCTAAAAACATCCGACCGATAATGTGATAATACGACACCGTCTGCAACCTTGTTGACTTTGATGAAAACATAGCGATGTTATAATTTTTCACTTCTATTTTTCTTTAACCATTTGAGGCCCATAGTACGGATATATCCGTACCAGTGTACAGTGCATACTTTTCAAAGCGCAACCTGGCGTAACTCGGCCGTTCCTTGACCAAATCGGACAATCGAAAGGGCTAACGACATTAGAATTGTCTCAGGTATCGGCTCGAAAAAACCCGAAAGCGATTCGAGTTTGGAGAGCGGAGATACGAGACTCGAACTAAATTCGCTCAGCAGAGTCAACTCGAGCGCGAGCATTTTGAACTCGTTTTTAGGGGTTTTCCCCGACTCGCGGCCCACGCAGCTACAGATAGTTCACGTCATGCAATTTGTTGAAATGGCAGAGAATTTGAGTTGGGCGCTCGCAATGCTGGCTTTGGAGCGCCGTATCGCGCTGCCGCGCTGGTTCTGTGGATCGAGTGATGTATTGCTGGCTATCGCTGTGTTCCTCTGGCCAAGAGCTTTCCAGAAAGCCCAAGATCACCAAAATCGGCCAAAGGACACCAAAGTTACGACCAGATAAGTACCCGGGCTCGCGTATGCAGTGCATTTCTTGAAATAATTGTGGGCCCTGAAGGGTTAAAGACATAACATGGCATTCGAGACCGCACTATCACCCTATAGGCATTCGCCGGATATACTTTGCATGCGTACACATTCCTCCAAGTTGCTTTACGTTATGATCTTCCATTTGAAAGCCCTATTCGAATAAGGTGACCAGCTGTCTTTGAAGGTATGGTACGGGATAGCCATGCCAAAGTCGTCAGGCACAAACAAATGATAGTACGGCGTCAGGCACAAACAGACAAAATCAGTTAATTAAAGCTGTGTGGACCCAGGCTTGCACCATACGTTACTAAAGTAACATCTTTTTGCATTGCTATGGGGATAAAATAACAATGAATTAATCCAATTGTGCACTCATACCCATGTATAAAACAATTATTAAAAAGAAAAATTCCAACACGTTTTCCAGTGAATATCATCAGTGGAACATCATCACATAGTAAGAATCACTAAAACAACCAATATCTGTCCACACGCACACACAACTGCCACATTTATCTACTGCACCATTCTCAGATCCACTGCATAAGTTCACACTACACGCATTAAGCATAACCTCCAGCTGCTGCATTCTCATGCTCCTTCTCATATTATTCTAGCTGTGTAACTTCTTATCAACCACCACACCACACCGCTGCGCTCTCCGGCCGACCTCAACACGTTGCCACAGCACACCATCAGCAAAACGACACTTCAGTTGGTACTCTGCTCCTTCAGACAGCAGCTGTTTCGATCATCAGGATCTCGTCAGTGAAGGTTGATAATGTAGAATGGATAACAGATAGTGCATGGCCAGCAATTGAGGACATCTGAGAGTTGTAATTGTTGTACTCCTCCGAGGTGTGATTTTTGGCCTGCTGGGCCAAGCACAAGGAAGCCATCTGCAAAAAAACTGCAGAAAATGTTTGTTGTTTGATCCTTTGGTGTAATCTTTGTTTCTAGTCGAAGCTAGTTGCTGTTTGGAGCAGAAACGCTGAAATTGGCTATTTTCTGCATGTACTCATACATGTACTCATGTACTCAGGCATGCAGTCTCACTCGTGTTTTAGCTCTTTTTTCTGGAATGGATGCTGCTCTGCACCCCTTGGTGAACATTTCCTGCGCTCGTGGAGCAACTGAAAAGGACCACTGGTATGTCTGGTTCCTGGTTTGAAAGTGGAGAGTCGACTTTTGTGCCTTGAAAAGGAAGTAGAGAGCGATAAAGGTAGGTCGTTGACTTATTTTTGAGTACTCCTTCATACATTTTTGATCGTGATAGAAATTCTCAGACCAAAGTCAGACCAAGGTCAGCGCGATGATGGCCGTACAGTTTTCTTGTGGATTTTTTAGTTGTTTCATCTCGTATCTATGTCAGTATCGTCATGGTGAAGTGGAGAGGGTGATTTTCTTCCTCTAGGCTTCGTTCGGCCGACTTTGCTTCGTCCTCGTTGAAAAGTGATCAAGAAAAAAAGGTCGATACGCAAAATTATGTTGATTTTGAATGTACGTGATGACATGCGATTGCTGGCTATGAACTTCACCCTTTTGTAGCAAAAAAGGGAAACACAATGGCGCATCTTAGGCGCAAAAAGGGGGGAACCATAATGGCGCATCTTAGGCGCGAAGATTAAGGCTAAGGAAAGGCGATACTGATAGACTACACTGAGGATACTAATAATATAAATGGTGTTAGTGAGAGTACAGTCATGTAGTGATAGCCAGGTGTGACTTCCATAGATGGCCCAGCATACCACGGCAAGTTGCAATGCGAGAGGCCCCTGGGGCATTCACTCTGTCCACTGACTCACCACACAGCAACTCACCATTGTCACGTCAGAGCCATTCTTCAGTTGCCATGATAACGCCGTAGCTTAGCAATAGCGTAGCAATGAAGTGACAAAAACATGCTCACAAAGTATGCTCACAAAGTATCATTCGAAAGGCCCATGGGGCATTCCCTCTTGACACTGTACCATGGTTTGGCATCCGCCTGTAGTACCCTTTACATTACTAGTATCCTCAGTGTAGTCTATCAGTATCGCCTTTGCTTAGCCTTAATCTTCCCGCCTTAATCTTCGCGCCTAAGATACGCCATTATGTTTCCTCCCTTTTTGCGCCTAAGATGTGCCATTATGTTTCCCTTTTTGCTACAAAGGGGTGAAGTTCA